TGTTTGAGTCCACAGTGCTCTCTGGATGTAGATGAACTACAACTCCAAAACTCAAGTCAATGCCCACCAAACCCTTCCTGTATTTTCTGTTGGTCATGGGAGTTCTGTGTGCCAATTTGGTTCAATTCCATCATTGGTGGAGTTCAGAATGCTCATTGATTGTAGGAGAACTATAAATCCCAGCAACTACAACTTCCAAATGACAAAATCAATCCCCCGCCCAACCCCACTAGTACTCATTGGGTACTAGTGTATTGGGTATTTGTGCCAAATTTGGTCCGGTGAATGAAAATTGCCCCAATTGTAATTAACTCCATTCATGTTCAACATTATTCCTTTTCCTGCCCTTCATATTATATATTATGAAATTACATTACATATTGCCCTTTTCCAAAGCTAAGTTAAAATTTTTTAAAAAAATACAATACATTTCAAACATAGACATAGGTTGTCGTGTAATTGTGATATCAATCTTATTTTAAAAAACAATGTAAAACATGCAACTAACAATAAGGAACTTAGCCTATGTTTAGTTCTGATTGGCAGGTCTTTAGGGAGCAGATGGTATTTATTTTCATTTTTATTTATTGTGCTTTTAAGTCAACCCTTAGCTCTGGTTTCCCTAGGTGTTGCGGAGTCTGTTAGAAGTACAGCACATGGAAATTACACACTAAAGCAGTAACTGATGGCTGCACATGAGCCTGGTTGATTCCCGACCCCACATTTGCAACAAAGCAGCCTTAAACCAATTTTATCTACTTATTGTAATGCAGATTTAAAACTTTGGGTCTCCAAAGTGGAGCAAGGAGATCTCATCAGTGTTTGGAACAGGAGCATCATCATGGGTGAAGATTTACTGCAGAAGATGCGTTTTATCTATTACCTGAATATATGTTACTCCAGTTGAAAAAATTACCAAAGTGGCCGTCAAGATGATTTAGGCATCATGTAATGACGGTTATTATTATTATTATTATTATTATTATTATTATTATGAGACCTTGATTGGGCAGGATTAGATAAAACATGGAGCACAAACCCTTTGGTGTGTGTTTGACATAAATGTCTTGCTTTGCAGTCACTTAAAACTTCACCTGAGCATTTGGAAATAGAGTTTAGGCATCTAGAGAAAAGGGAGCAAGCAAAGGGACCAAAGGAATGCAACCAGAGCAAAGAAAGGCATTGCAGGTGTGAACGTGCAAGGTCTGGTTTCAATGTTATGTCAGAAAGAGAAACAGCAGATCACAAATACAGGTTTAAATTGCCTTCTTGTGACATCAACTGACCATCCCAGATTACTGTAAATGCATTAACCCATTGACTTTTCCTACCCTTTAGCTGCTCCCAGGAGTGAACCTTGGTCTGGTGACTCAGCCGATGAAAGCTTCCTTGAAGAAAGCCTGGTGACCTCCCAGAGCCACCTCATTTCTGGGAGAGATGATCACACAGGAGAAGTGACTCTCCAGTTTGACAGCTGGACCTCGAACCCTGCTGATGAAGACGTAACTCACTCACATGGCGTCACAGGAATGGAGGCTCAAAGCACCTTGGAAGAAGAAGATGGAGACCAGGCATTTACTATTCTAGCTGGAGAGGCTGAGAGCCCTGAGCTGACCATCACTGACGGACATCAGACTGATGCTCTGGTCACAAACAAGACCTCTATCACCACTGATGTCTCAACATCACAATCCATCAAGACTAAGCAAAACCATCTGGCAACATCTCTCTCCAGAGTAGAGCAATTGGGTAATGCTACAACCCAGGAAGTCAGACCGAGTGAGGAGTGGACCACTTCTCCTTCAGGTAAGACAGAAGAAACAGAGTCACCTGCAGGATCCTTGGAGAGCACTGGGCAATGGATGGTATTGTCCACCGTCCTCTCTCTCATGACAGCAAACTCCAGGAGTATCCCCACATTGGCTTCGGGAAAGAGTGGAACCGAACCAGAAGGACAGTTTCTTCAAACCATACCAACTCCCAGAAAACAAGAGATGGGGAAATCAGTAACAGCTATTCCTGAAGATAGCCAACAGCCACAAGGTATGAGTCAACAAACCATATTGGTTAGCAGGACATCAGATGTCAGCAGAAGTCCAGGTATCCTGATGGTGGTGCAGAATACATCTGTTAAGAGTAGCTCCAAATTTCAGGAGCAGCTTTTTGAACAAGATGGTGTAACTATTCCCATGACAAAGATGGAGCAGCATGATTCTTCCCTGGATCCCTCTACACATGGAGAGATGATGAGGGATGAGACCACTGAGCTGACATTGACTGAAAAGCCTACGATTCAGACTTCTCCTCAAAGCAACACTCGGCCCTTCCCGCCCTTGTCAACTTCAGGAACTTTCTATTCAGCAACTTTTCAGAAATCTTCCAGAAAGGATGACATCAGCCAAAGCTTTCAGTCCAAATCTTTATTTCCATCCCAGTCCCCTCTTTCCAGGACATCTGATGTATCTATCAAAGCAGAAGAACATCTTCATGGAGGAATGAATTCTGTATTGTTTCATGCAGTTGACTACCAGACAACCCAAACACCTCTTTTCAATCTTTCCCAAACGGCTGTAGGAGAATCATCTCCTCTATCCAATCTGCACAAAACCACCATCGAGGATCAGCCAAGTTCCATGGACTATTCTGTCCCTCAACCATTAAGTGTTCCTCCCTTTGTTTATGACAGGTCACAGGTAAGCATAGCAAGCACTTTCTCACTAGCTGACTCAACATCATCTCATGGTAGGAACACAATGTCAAGCTTTGAGACTTCGTCCCATGACAATTCTCCATCAACAGCTATGTCTGAACCTGCTAGACACAGCACACAAGGGATGTCTGCGTTCCAACAACTCTATATGCTTTCTACTGTCCATGGAAATCAAACATCTGTTCCATCTGTTATCGATCCAGAAACCTTGCTCACCTCTTCTGCTCTTGTTCCTACAACATTGCAAGAACCTGATGTCCACCTTACACTAGGGAAATCAGATCTCTTTCCTCGGTCTGAACCACAATATGACTCTGATCCACCAGATATTGCTGCAGCTCTCACTAAGACCACAGCACTTAGGAATTTGGCCTCTCCAAATGTTGGGCTGAACTCATCAGTTGCAGCTTCATCAACTCGCTCAACGACCAGAGTACTACTATTGTCAACTCTTGCAAATGGAGAACAGGGAAGAGAGTTGACTACCCCCATGCCATCACAAGTCAATGAGCAAATACTCAGCAATACGGCTTCTTATCATACTAGACCTACTTCTTCTCATGTGGAACAAGGTGTTCCAAGGACATCATCGGTTGCTGGCTTGGAGATTTCAAGCCCTTATTTCCTTGATCGCACCAAAACAATGCTCCCTCCAAGTGTCTCTATCTCTCCTTATGCTGAGACGCCACTTCTGCCAGGCCAAGACCTCATGAACTCACAACCACCTAACATCAATCCTCCTGTTAACAATGAACATCTATTAAGCACCTTGAGTACAGTGATGTCTTCTCATACCAGTTCTCAAGCACCAGGTGATTCTGTCACTGTTATGGATGAGTCTCATCTTCATGTCACATCGACTCCTGTCCATGCCATTACAGAGACAAATGGCACTGCAGCGGAAGGAGGGCTGCCAGTTGATGCTGAGCCACACACAACAGATATCTCTACTACTTCAAAAGCTCAGTCACGAGCTTCCTCTCCCCATATCTTCATGGAACATACAATATTGGATGCATCTGCTCACCCAGGAGTCCAACCCCTGACTCATAATGAGACTCAGACACCAAACCCATCTTTTTCTGCCCTACTCCAACTTGATTCATTTAACACAACTCTCCGTGGCAGCATCAAGCCACACACATCACTCACCTCTGCTTTTGTCCACACTAAATCCCAGACGTCTGATGCATCCACCACTGCAGATATTGGAGACGAGATACCAAGCCTGTTCACAACTATCTCTCCTTATTTACAGTCTCAAGCTACACCTGTTCTGCTCCTAACACCTTACACCTTTGAGGAAATGAAGGAAGGAAAAAGCTCTTCACCAACCAGCCCTCCAACATCACCGGCTGGGATTTACAGACTGTCTCTGCCAAGTGTTGCAACTTCTGATTCCTTAAGGACAAGTCCTTCCAGCTTTGCCACTCCAGCCGCTCTGATCAGTCATCACAGCACAATGGATGCCTCTCCTCTGAGCTCAGTTCACATAGAAGACGACGGTGTTCTCAGAACAGTGCCAACACTGGCTGTTTCTGAAGCTCACAATCTCCCCCAAAGTTTCCTTGGGCTCCCCCAGTACCTGAACCGGTCATCAGGTGAACTTGGTGCCTCAAGCCTTAACTCTCTTGTGGTGAACAGCATCCTTGGAACATCACCTTCCCTTCAGTACATGTCCCTCTTGGTCCGGAGTGCAGAAAACATGGTGTGCTTACAGCGCATGCAAAATTCTACTCCACTTTCTGAAGAACCAAATACTGATGGGCATGGAGTTGCTTCCGCTCAGGAAGTTCTGCCTTTGTCTTCTGCTTTTGGTTTGCCACACCTTGGAGCTTCAAGCTTGATCCAGATGAGCCCATCTAGTGTCATTCTGGTGAAACCTGTGTTTATCTTTTTACCAGCTGAAACACCCAAAGTTCCTGCACCATCCTTCATGGAGGAGGAATGGAAACACAAAACCAATCTTTCACTCACCCACAAAGCTGTTTTGGGGTTATCCCCTTATACAAACAACCAGGAGCAACACGTGAGAACCAGTCCAACTATGTCCACCACTCAGCATTTGAAACTTCTTTCCTCTCATGCTTTTTCAACTGATAAGCAAAATATTTCAGAGACAATCCTCAGTGGTCTACCAAAATCAACAGAAAGCAATCTTACTAAATCTGACAGCTCAACATCTCATCCATTTACCCAACCATCAAAGGGAACTAGCACGAGAACAACGTTTATAGGGACTCCAAATCAGAATGGTGGGGTTCGGTCATCTGCTCTTCTTTCTCAAAACGTGGGAAGGAATCAACCGATTGCAATATCTGTTGGAACTACTGCAGATCACCACCATATCTCAGGTGCTTCAACTGTCATGTTGCCTATCCTGGAAAGACCCGAAACATTACCACCCTCTGCGGAACTATTGAATATGCCCTTCAAGACATCTTCTTTGCCTTCCTTGGTTGGACCTTCTGCTTCTCAGATGCTGAGAAGTTCCTTTCAGACATCCAGGCCTCTAAATATTCCTCAACTGAACACTACACTAATGTTTCACACTGAAGGTCATCAACAAGATTCATTGACCCCCATTACTCTGGTAAGTAAGAACTTTGAAGAGTCCTTGAATGTATCCTCAGCTAGGAACATGAAACTGCCATTAGAGGTGGGACATTTCACTCCTGCGAGTCTTACATCACATAGATCCTTGAACACTGAGTTGATTGGAAAGGAGTTACTTTTGGCTCCTTCAGAAGTTCAATATGTACCCAATGAGGTGTCAAGTTACCAGTTACTCCCAGTTGGAAAAGAACATGAAGTGTCTGCATCCTCAAATGACTCCTATTTAGAAGCAGTGGGTGCATTCCCTGTGTCCACAGCATCTTCCTATCACACCAGCACCATCTTCTCCAAACTTTTCCATTTTCATCCAATCTCTCCCAAGTCCATCATGGGAAAGAAGAACCCAATAACTCTATTTTCACCTTCTGCCTTATTCCCAGTGAATCCTCCAGCATCATCAACTCCATCAGAGGAACCACTGGAGGCTCTCATGAATCATCAGGAATCATCTGGACTCTCTACCAACATGCCTTCACGGGTATCATCATCACACTCCTTCTTTGCCAAATCATTGATGAAATACAATCCAACCACTCACCAGATGGTCAGAAAAAGGGCTTCTCTTTCAAGTACTCAAGGATGGCCAAAACCAAGAGTGAGCACTGGAGAACACAATTTGAGTACAAGGAACATTGATGCTCAGCATCAAGTGGAAGCAATCCACATTGTGCCAGTTTCATCTGGTACAGAAGCCAGGAACCTCTCTGTGTGGCTGGCCACCACAGACTTCAAACCAACCTCAGTCCCACCAGATGATACTGTGAGATCTGTAGGTCTTCAAGGTTTGTTCCAGAATTTACCACCACGTACTGTCCTTGCAGGTGCATCCATTTCACGTCTTCAAGGCACAACTGTTTTGCCTGTAGGTGGAGGAACATCCGTCATGGCAGCATCACAAAGTGTTTGGAATAGGTTGATGCAGCCCAGTGGAAGTGAAACAAATGTAGCAGGCTATTCTTCAGCATCACCAAGACAGGGTCAACATCTTGAACACAAGAAAGGAGGGAACGTAGGGACTGAATATGAATTTCTGGTTAGATCTAGTTCTCAACCAGCACAAACAAGCTTAGAAGGTGAACATCTGGGTGACAAATGGATCCAGGATGTTGTCTCCTCCTTTTCAACTCCTTCTCCAATGTTTTCCACCATTCTCAATGGACCGAGATTGTCCACATTATCCTCCAGTATTGAGGGACGTGATGGTAGAGGTCTCCTGAGACAAAGGTCCTATTGGCAAAATCCACAACTACACATCTCTGAGAGCTTCCCAAGTCTTCAAACACAGGTCCAGCCAAACCCAGGAAGCTTTGAACCTCCTTACAACATTCGGACCAATGGGGACTTCTTAGTAGACACTGCTAGCAGCACTGGAGCAACCAGTGAATTACACTCATACACATCTGGAGAGCGGGTTGGTCTCACAAGAGATCCTACAGGAGAAGGGGATGGAGATGATGGAGAAATCAATGAAGATAATGATGATGATGAAGACGATGGTTCAGTATCTGACTTGCCACCATGGGACTCCAGTACTGATTTGTTCGACTGGAGAGCACAGCACCATCGGCGACAGATGCGTTCAGATGATGTTTTTTTAAATGGGTAAAAACAGGGATGGGAACTGGATGGCAGATGTTATTGGATCCCATCTCCCAGCATTCCTCAAGATTGTTTCTATTAGCTTGTGTTGCTAGGAGATGTAGTCCATCAACATTTGGTGGGTCATGGGGTCCTTCTTTCTGTGAGACATATAGAGGTGAAGTGCCCTATGAATTTCCGAGGCAAGGAATATCCAGAAGTGGTTTGCCATTGCCTTCCTCTGGAATATAGCCCATAGCACCTGATATTCTTCAGTGGGTCTCCTTCCAAGTACAAACCTGACCTGATCTTGCTTAGCTTCTGAAATCAGATACGATCTGGTACCTTTGGGATTTTGAGGTTTAGGTGTATTAACTTCCAGGGTACTCCACTCTGCTTTATTTTCCATACTCACTATTCAATAGCTGCTCAGTATGACTGTACTATTTTTGTGGGTTAATTTTTTAAATAACTTCTCAAAAACATCCTTTTCCAAACCACGGGTCTCCTGGTTTGTTCCTCCACGGCCGCATCTTGGCCCTAGTCAGGTCGCCATGCTCCAGATGACTTTGTTCTGAGTGTGATGATGATTTTATCCTCTTATTGATTTACAATTTATGCGACAGCCACTTAGGGGACTCAAAAGCCAACATCTAAACATGTTAATAAATAACAAACCGCTAAAAAGGCAGAAGCTGCCAAGAGTCCCCTCCCCACCAAATGAAAGTGGGCTGTTTCGAAACATTATCACGCAGTGAACAATACAAAGATGTTGAATCATTGATTGCAGATCTCATACTGGAATTTTAATGCAGAGGGATCTGTAATGCATTCACTTTTGTCATTCTTTTTTGACACTTTTGCTCTGATGGAATTTAAATTACAAGTGATGGCAGAAGAGACCAATTTGCCCTTGACCTTCACCTGAAAAGATTTTGGTCATCAAATGTCAGTGTTGCCCCATCCCTTCTTGATTTGATCGGAAACATGGATCCTCTTCATAAAGAGGGGTTCGGGGGTGGTTAGCGCACAGCCAGAAGGTTCTGATGTCCTTGAGATGATCTTGGTTGAGCTACTTCTAACACTCCCTTGAATACATCTTGATCTCATCTGTCCTTGGAAGCTAAGCCAAAGTTTAGTTAGTCCTTGGATAGAAGACCACCATCATGGATCTCCAGGTAGAGCTAGAAGGAGACCTCTACCTGAAAACCTGGAGAGACAATTAGTTAGAGCTGACACTACTAGGCTGGATAGAAGAAGGTTCTAGCTTCATATGGAGACGTTCTCAGGTTCTGCTACCATCCTATTTAGGAAAGAATCCTTCCTGAAGTTCTGCAGATCCATGGCTGATAGTCAGAGGTGACAGTACTGGGCTATATATATTTATGTTATCACTAGCTGTACCCGCATTGCTGTGGCCAACCTTCCTTCCCTCGTTCTCATCTTTCTTCTTCTTTCTTCTCTTTCTTTCTTCTTTCTTTTTTCTTCTTTCTTTTTCTCCTCCTTTCCTCCTTCCTCCTTCTTTCCCTTCCTTCCCTCCCTCCCTCCTTCTTTCTTTCTTCTTTCCTCTCCTCTTCTCTTCCTTTTCCTTCCTTCCTTCCTTCCTTCCTTCCTCCTTCCTTCCTTCTTCCTTCCTCCTTTCCTTTCCTCTCTCCCTCTTCCTTCTTTCTTTCTTCTTTTTCTCTTTCTCTCTCTCTCTCTTCTCCCCTCTCCTTCCTTCCTCCTTCCTTCCTCCTTCCTTTCTTCCTTCTTCTTCCTTCCTTCCTTCCTTCCTTCCTTCCTTCCCTTCCCTCCCTCCCTCCTCCTCTCTTTCTTTTCTTTCTTTCTTCTTTTTCTTCCTTTCTTCTCTTTCTTCCTCTCTCCCTCCCTCCTCACTCCTCCATTCCTCTCCTTCCTTCCTTCCTCCTTCCTTCCTTCCCTTCTTTCTCCTCTCCTCCCTCTTCCCTCCCCCCTTTTTTTCCCTTCCTCTTTCTCCCCTTTCTTCCTTCTCTACCTATTCTATTATGGATGCAACTCCCAGCAGTCCTCCTGATGATCTACCTACCTACCTACCTTTATCTAATCTATCTATCTGGAGGATTGCTGGGAGTTGCAGTCCAGGAATAGGAAATTGGAAATATGCAGGGATTGGGATGCTCTCAAAGAAATCCAAGGAGAAGAAAGCTTGCATCTTGGAAGCAGTGCATTTGGATCATCCTCCTCTCCTAAAGGGCCTGGTCTAGGGGATGCTGGGAGCTGTAGTCCAGAAGAGAGTGTGGATATGCTATTGTGTGTTTTGTTTGCCAGGGGAGTCATTTTTGTGCATGTGCTGTAGCATCTTTTTGCTTTTTTGGATTTTAAAGTCCCTTCTGTTGTGTTTTTCATTGTTTTTAGGAGTGATGGTCACTCGTTGGCCTGAAAGGTGTCTTGTGTCCAAATTTGGTGTCAATTTGTCCAGTTGTTTTTGAGTTATGTTAATCCCACAAACGAACATTATATTTTTATTTGTATAGATAATAAAGACTAGTAGAGAATCTGCCCATTCTCCCATAAGAATACTCTGAGCTTCCAACACTTAAGAGTGCTAAAATAGAGCGTTGGTGCTAATTTCACCTGTCTGGATCTAATGTTCGTCGTGAGGTGGTCGCCTAGTTAACCAAAGATTGTTAAAGGAACCCTCAGACAGATAGAGATTAGCTGGCTACCAGCATTTTAAAAGCAAAAAGAAAAGCAACAAATATCAAACCCTTGGTCCCTTAGTCTAAAGAGATGGGTTGGGGAATTTAGAATATCTCAGCATCATATAGAATTTTGCATTGCTGAATTCTTCTCCTCCACTTTTTTCTGGCTTTCTCAATCCTTTAATCTCAGTTTGGCCATTGTGTCTGATGATGTCTGCAGTTCTGGAAACTATACCACGGAAATGAGACTCCAGCCTGCAAATCGGGGAAAGACTCTGTATCCTCCTGGTAGTTTCCTGGCCCAGATCGTTCTTCACGACAATGGAAGTCGACCGACTTTGAGTGTCAAGTCGTGTTGTGTGACTGCCACCGCCCGGCCAACCGGACCAGAGGCTGCCTCCTGCTGCCATTTTCCCAGGTGAGGAAGGAAACAAATAGTATTCTACTTGTATTTGGGATAAATCTACAACCCAGAGCAAATTCACTTTTCAACTAATATGGACACCACTAACATTGATGGACTATAAACCTGGTGTGTGTTAAAGTGAAATTCAACCCCAATGGTGGTAGCCAGTTTTGATGAACTTTAAAGGAGACCTTGGTCTGTTTGGAGAAGGGAATTTAAGTACTTTGGGTTGCTCTTTCTGAATTTGAGCTAAGGTCTAAAATTGAGTCACTGAGCTAGTGCTATTGGAGCTACCCATTTTTTGGGGGGTGGGTGGGTTGGAATTAATTGAAAATCGGTTGTGAGCACTCAGAATATTCCTTTTTCTCAACTGATACCACAATTGGGGGCCACAACTAGATACAGTGAAGACATCCGCTCTTGTGCTTTGCTACTCTGCTGCTGAATACGCATGCGCAGAGTGGAATACATCTCACTATATTAAAATGAGACATGCCACATTATCACAAAATGGCTATGTCCTTCACCACTGGAGACTGGCACAAGCTGATTGGCACAACCTGGGGATCACAACCAGACACAGTGAAGACATCTGCCCTTGAGCTATGCTACTCTGCTGCTGAGTATGCATGCCCAGTGTGGAACACATCTCACCACACTAAAACAGTAGATGTGGCTCTTAATGAGACATGCCGCATTATCACGGGGTGTCTGCGCCCTACACCACTGGAGAAATTACACTGTTTAGCTGGTCACACTACCTGACATCCGCCGGGAAGTAGCAGCCAATAGTGAAAGGACCAAGGCAGTGACATCTCCAGCCCATCCCTTGTTTGGGTATCAGCCAGCACATCATGATTTACATCAAGAAATAGTTTTCTAAGATCTACAGAGACACTCGCTGGAACACCCCAGCAAGCGAGAGTCCAAAAGTGGCAGGCTCAAACCCAGAACCTCAACCATGGCTGATACCAAATGAGAGACTCCCCCCTGGGCACACAGAGGACTGGGCAACTTGGAAGGCGCTGAACAGACTGCGCTCTGGCACCACGAGATGCAGAGCCAACCTTCAAAGTGGGCCTACAAAGTGGAATCCACGACATGCGAGTGTGGAGAAGAGCAAACCACTGACCACCTGCTGCAATGCAACCTGAGCCCTGCCACATGCACAATGGAGGACCTTCTTGCGGCAACACTAGAGGCACTCCAAGTGGCCAGATACTGGTCAAAGGACATTTAATCAACTACCAAGCTTGCAAACTTTGTGTTTTGTCTGTCTGTTTGTTTTGTTCTGTTAAAAATGTAATACAATTGTCTGGTTGCCCCTGACACGATATATAAATACTTAGAAGTCTTTCCATGGAGCTTGGATGGTGACCTTTCAGTGATTTTGGCTGTGTGTTCCTGCACGTTGGATTGGGTGACTCTTGGAGTCTTTTCCAACTCTCTAATGCTATGAACCCTGTTAACGGGAAGAGAGCATTGCATCCAGGCCGATGATTCCGGGATTATTTCACAGCCAAATCCCCCCTTACAGTGTCAAACATGAGTGCTGAAAGCTGGCCAGCGTCGAGGGTCACCTCTGTGGTGTTCGTGACACAGTTTGCTCCATACGGATCAGAGCCAACCAACCCTCGTGACATCGGTTTAGGCCAGCTTAAAGGAGTCACCTTGCGGGCTCTGTTCTTTTAAATGCTTGTATTCAGCACTAGAAACAGAAAGCTCATTCCTTTCAGTAATCCTAGGAAGCATTGATGTAGCTTTCCCTCTTGGCCTCACATTGGTGTGCTTTTGGCCTACCTTTGAGTGAAAGGACACTATTGTTCCGCTCCTCCTGGAAGCTGCCTTAGCAAATGAATGGACTGCCAATCTTGAATCAGACCAGCAACAAAGCGGAAACAAGTAACCACACTCTTTCTTTAACTTGATTTCTACGAAATGCTTCTCTGGCACATGGAAGCTCTTTTACCTAATTCAATAATAATAATAATAATAATAATAATAATAATAATAATAATAATAATAAATTGTGGCAAGTTCTTGGTTGGATGGGCATCCCAAGCCACCTTGTCTCTCTCCAGAGGAATCTGTTCAAGGACCAAGTAGCAGCAGTCAGAACTGACCACGGAACAGGAGACTGGGTCAAGATTGGGAACGGTGTACGGCAAGGCTGCATCCTCTCACCCAACCTTTTTAGCTTGTATGCAGAACACATCATGCGAGGATGTGTGGGGCTTGATGAATGGAAAGCTGGGGTGAAAATTGCAGATATGCAGATGACACTACTCTGATGGCCGAAAGTGAGCAGGAGCTGAGGAGCCTTCTAGTCAAGGTGAAAGAAGAAAGCACAAAAGCTGGGTTGCAGCTAAACATCAAAAAAACCAAGATTATGGCAACAAGAATGATTGACAACTGGAAAATAGAGGGAGAAAATGTGGAGGCCGTGACAGACTTTGTATTTCTAGGCGCAAAGATTACTGCAGATGCAGACTGTGGCCAGGAAATCAGGAGACGCTTCCTTCTTGGGAGGAGAGCAATGTCCAGTCTCAGTAAAATAGTAAAGAGTAGAAACATCAGACTGGCAACAAAGGGACTCGGTGCGGCTTACATGAGGCCGAGCCCAAACACAACAATACAGGCAATAATCACAACAATACAAGCAATTAAAATAAAACATAAACGATAAACATATAACATTATCAATAAGACAACATACAGTTAAAACTATGGGAAGGCCAAATGTAAAAATTAAAATTGGAAGTAGTGCTGAGGCATGGACGAACAGGTGATAGTGCCGTTTGTGGAAGACATACGAGCAGACCTAAAAGTATAAAGTGCTTTGGAGGGACAAAGTGCTATGGGATCATTATTCCGGGAAGGCACACTGGAACAACCACGTCTTCAAGCTGCTCCTGAAGACTGCCAGAGTTGGGGCCTGTCTGATGTCCTTAGGGAGCGAGTTCCAGAGTCGAGGGGCCACCACCGAAAAGGCCCTCTCTCTCGTCCCTACCAATCGCGCCTGCGATGCTGGTGGGATCGAGAGCAGGGTCTCTCCAGATGAACGAAGAGATCGTGTGGGTTCCTATACAGAGATGCGGTCACTAGACAAAGGCCTGGCTCCAAAACCATGATTTTCATTTTTTCCTAAAAGAAAGGAGGGAGGACAGCGATCTGATCTCGCTGGGGAGCGAATTCCAGAAGCAGGGGGCCACCACTGAGAAGGCCCTGTCCCTCGTCACCACCAGATGCATTTGCGAAGCCAGTTGGACCGAGAGCAGGGCCTCCTCAGTAGATCTTAAATTACAAGGTGGAACGTAGAGAGAGATACTGTTACTCCTTTCACTCTTCTCAGCCACCAACTGTCCTGTTCTTTCCACTTGTGTCCCATTGGCTCTTCATTTTCAAGTAAAAAGGCCAATGATAAAACAAAACTTCATAAAAGTTCCGTCTCCTTTAGTGACAATGTTCAGCTACAATCCTCTAGTCAATGACAATCTAGGCTGAAGTATTATAGGACCCTTGCCAATTATCGTCCCGTCTCTAATCTTCCATTCTTAGGTAAGGTGATAGAGCGGGCTGTATTGGGACAATTGCAGCAATTTTTGGATGACACAGCTGGCCTGGACCCTTTCCAGTCAGGTTTTCGCCCGGGTCCTGGGTCCTGGTTGCTATTACAGATGAACTTCGTCGTCAGTCTGATAGCGGCGGATCGGCGCTTCTGGTACTTCTCGATCTTACCACAGTGTTTGACACCTTTGACTACGATTTAATGATCCACCGTCTCGTCATGTCTGGAGTTCACGGTCAGGCCCTCAATTGGATCAATTCATTCCTCCGAAATCGGACCCAATGCGTGGAATATATGGACCAAGTCTCTGAAAGTTCCCCCCTCCTATGCGGGGTCCCCCAAGGTGCAATTCTCTCCCCTCTTCTCTTCAACATCTACGTTAGACCCCTTGCCAGTTTGGCTCAGAGATTCCGCCTGGACTGCTATCAATATGTGGACGACACCCAACTCCTGTTGCGCTTGGAGCCTGGAGTAACGTCAATACCTGACAATTTCACCTTATGCCCGGAGGCTCTGTTGAACTGGCGATGTGCTAGCAGACTGAAGGTGAATCCGGCGAAGACTGAGATCCTGTGGCATGGCCGCCCAATAGGTCCGACCCATCCGTTACCTACCTTTGATGGCGCTGTTCTATCTCCATCGCCTACCGTTAAGAGCCTTGGTGTCGTTTTGGATTCACAGCTGACGATGGAGGCTCAGGTCGCTGCTGCCAGCAAACAGGCCTTTTTCCATCTACGACAAGCGAGGCAATTGGCACCTTTCCTGTTGGATGAGGCTCTGGCAACAGTCATCCATGCCACGGTCACGTCTAGGCTGGACTATTATAATGCCTTGTATGTCGGCCTTCCTATTTCTACAACCCAAAAGCTCCGTATTGTCCAGAATGCTGCAGCCAGGTTACTCACAAACATGCCCATGAAATGCCATATAACACCAGTGCTGCAGCATCTACACTGGCTCCCAATTGAGTATCGTGGTTTGTATAAGGTGCTGGTCCTGACCTTTCAAACTTTATATGGCCAGGGTCCATTGCATCTTAGAGACTGTCTCTCTTTCTCCCATCATCGGAGGTCACCACGACCATCCCAACGCGATTTGCTCTATATGCTGGGTCCTAGGGAAGTGCACTTGGAGAGCACCAGGCGCAGATGGGCCTTCTCTATTTCTGCCCCTGCCTTATGGAATTCCTTATGGCCTCCCTATTTGAGAGCCATGCGTGACTCAGGGCATTTTATCCTAGCACTTAAGACCTGGCTTTTTACTAGAGCATTTGACCCATGTTAATTTTAATATTTGTATGTATGTGTTTTATCCTGTATAATTTCTGCAATGTAATTCGCCTGGAGCATCTCGGATGGAGGGCGATTAATAAGTAATTAAAGATGATGATGATGATGATGATGATGATGATTGTGGCCCCAAAGTATAAGCACTGAACCATTGATGAGGAGACTAACATCTCCAGCTGTGAATTTCCTATTAAGCTTTGGATTGTCGACATTCGTTGGATTCCCAGCATCCTGAGCTTCTCTCTCTTCCATTTTCCCTTCCTTCACAGGTCAGTGCTGGGGTGCAAACATGTCCAGATTCACCAGAACAGCAAATCCAGCATTGCCAGCTTTGCCATTCAGCTTTTCCGGATGCTCAACCATTCTGTAGCATACCTGCATTGCGAGCTCAGTGTCTGTCTCACCGGGTTGGCTGGATGTGAAGAGGTGTGATAGGATTGAAAATGGATTACAATTATAGACTGATTACTTATGTTTTTCTTAAAGAGTAAGAAATAACGATTGGGAATTAGAACTTCAACAGGCAGTCCTCAAGTAATGAACAAGACAGGTTCTGCAGGTTTGTTCTTAAGTTGAATTTGTTTGTAAGTTGGAACAGGTACATTTTTAAGTGTAACTCCATAGATATTATTATTATTATTATTATTATTATTATTATTATTATTATTATTATTAACTTTATTTATACCCCGTAAAATGTCCCGAAGGACTCGATGCGGCTTACAAAGGCCAAGGCCGCCAACAAACAATAACATACACATACACAATAAAAGTCATAAGCAAATAAAAACATCAAGCAAGGCATTAAACAATAAAAACAATGACACAGTGACACATTTAAAACCAAGGGCTGGGCCAGTGTAATAGACAAAATTGACTTGACAAGTGAAATGTAGGGGTATTTGGAGGTAGGTGCAATGTGCAAATAATCCTGAATCTCTAACAAAGTGCATTTGGGACTTGATGCCAGGAGTTTCCTATTCTGGAAAGGCACACTGGAACAGCCAGGTCTTCAGATTCTTCCTAAAGACAGCCAGCGTTGGGGCTTGTCTGATGCCCTTGGGGAGCGAGTTCCAGAGTCAGGGGGCCACCACAGAGAAGGCCCTGTCCCTCGTCCCCAACAAATGCGCCTGCGACGCAGGTGGGATCGTGAGCAGGGCCTCTCCAGATGATCAAAGGGAACGCGTGGATTCATATATGGAGATGCGGTCACGCAGGTAGGCAGGTCCCAAACCGTTTAGGTAAACACCATCCGCCTAGTCAAAGCCATGGTCTTCCCTGTAGTCACCTACGGATGTGAGAGCTGGACCTTAGGGAAGGCTGAGCAAGGAAGAGAGATGCTTTTGAGCTGTGGTGTTGGAGGAAAGTTCTGAGAGTGCCTTGGACTGCGAGAAGATCCAACCAGTCCATCCTCCAGGAAATAAAGCCCGACTGCTCACTGGAGGGAAGGATAGTAGAGACAAAGTTGAAGTACTTTGGCAACATCATGAGGAGACAGCAAAGCCTAGAGAAGACAATATGCTGGGGAAAGTGGAAGGCAAAAGGAAGAGGGGCCGACCAAGGGCAAGATGGATGGATGGCATCCTTGAAGTGACTGGACTGACCTTGAAGGAGCTGGGGGTGGTGACGGCCGACAGGGAGCTCTGGCGTGGGCTGGTCCATGAGGTCACGAAGAGTCGGAGACGACTGAATGAATGAACAAGGTAAGCACCTGCACCTTGAATTGGGACCGGAAGATGAATGGCAGCCAATGGAGCTCCTTAAACAGGAGGGTTGACCGCTCTCTGTAAGGAGCACCAGTTAACAACCTGGCTGCCGCCCGTTGGACTAATTGAAATTTCCGAGCCGTTTTCAAGGGCAGCCCCACGTAGAGCGCATTACAGTAGTCCAATCTAGAGGTGACCAAGGCATGGACCACCCCGGCCAGATCAGCCTTCACGAGGTACGGTTGCAGTTGGCGCACGAGTCTCAATTGTGCAAAAGCCCTCCCGGACACCGCCGACGCCTGAGCCTCAAGCGTAAGTGATGAGTCCAAGAGGACTCCCAAACTGCGGACCTGTGACTTCAGGGGGAGTGTAACCCCGTCCAGCACAGGTTGCCACCCTATACCCCAATCCGGTTTACGATCGACCAGGAGGACCTCTGTCTTGTCGGGATTAATCTTCAGCTTGTTCCTCCTCATCCAGACAGCCACAGCGGCCAGACACTCATCCAGCACCCGAGGGGCTTCCTTGGAGTTAGGTGGTAAAGATCGTTAGTAGATGATAGATAGATAGATAGATAGATAGATAGATAGATAGATAGATAGATAGATAGAGATAAGCTTTGGATAGCATAGGGAAGGATTAACACCCCTGTGCCATTTGTTTTGCTTTCTGTTCCCCTTTTCAGAAGATTTCACCGCACTTTCTGTCACTGAGATAATTGAATTTTGAAAAATGTAGCTTACCTTTTTGTGGAAACAAGGATTATGAGCAGAGACCCCTTCCCCCCCATAATAATAACTCTTTCAGGGCTGAATTTCCCTTCTGATGGGCAGATTTCTCTCACTTCTGGTTGCCTCACCCCAGTTCTTAACTATGAGTCATTTCTAAGTTGGATGTTTGTAACTCGGGGACTGCCTGTACTTTTTTCTTCCTAGAACTGCTTGGAAAACAAAGAGGGGCCTTCCAAGCCGAGCGACAGGAGGAGTTATGAGACCCTACACAATGTGATCTCCTTTGGTCCAGTCCTAAGAATGGAAGCAGAGTCTCCACTTGGACCGGCTCCAGGTGGGTTTCCAGAGCAAGAAGGAAAAGGGGAAAAGTCCTAGTTTTTCGAGGATCACAGCATGGTGCTGTCTCCATTTTCTCTTTCCAGGTTCTCCTCTCAGCGTGATGTTCCTGGCCTTCCTACTCTCCTTGACCGGCACCATTGGTGTAGTGGGGACCATTGTAGTTCTATGGGTGCGTTGGAGGGGGCAGGCGCAAAAGGGACCTCCCTTGGCTCCCCTGGCAGGAAGCGAATCCCCTTGAGACCCCCAAGCGTCCATCCCAGTAGTCATCGCTTGGGTGAATTGGGACCACTGCTTTCCCTGCGGAGCGGCTCTTTCAGTAGGGAGACTCCAACCTCTGCTTCTCTATTTCTCTGCCTTCAGGAGAGAGGCGTTAAAACCATAGATAGGGGATGGAGGAGGTTGCGGAATCTGAAAGAGGGAAAGAGTGGGCTTTGGGAAGAAAAGGAAAGAAGGAAGAAAGAAAAAAAGGGGAAGGAGGGAGAGAAGGAAGGAAAGAGAGAGGGAAGGAAAGAAAAAGAGGGAGGGAATAAAGGAATGCAAAAGAGGGTAGTAAAGAAAAAGAGGGAGGAAAAAAAAGGAGTAGGGAAGGAAGAAAGAAAACATGAAAAGGGAAGAGAGGGAAAGGAGAAGGGAAGGAAGGGAGGAAAAAGAGGGAGGGAAGGACATAAGGAAGGAAGGAAGGAAGGAAGAGGGAAAAAGAGGAAGAGAGAGGGAAGAGGAGGAGGGAAACAAAAAAGGAGGGAGGGAGGAAGGAGAGAGGGAAAGGAAGGAAGGAAGGGAAAAAGGTGGGGGAAGGAAGGAAAGAGGAGAGAAGGAGGAAGGAGGAAGGAAGGAAGGAAGGAAGGAAGGGAAGGAAGGGGGAGGAAAGAGAGGGAAGGAGCTAAAAAAGAAGGAAGGAAAAAGAAGGAAGGAGGGAAGTAAAAAGAAGGAAGGAAGGAAAGGAGTGAGAAAAGAAGGAAGGAAGGAAGGAGGAAGAGAAGGAAGGAAGGAAGGGAGGGAGGGAGGGAGGAGAAGGAGAGGAAGGGAGGGAAGAAGAAGAAGGAAGAAGGGAAGGGAGGGAGGAAGGGAGGGAGGAAAAGGATGGGAAGGAAGGGAAAAAGGGTGGGGATGAAGGAAAGAAAATATAGTGAGAGAAGGAAGGAAGGAAGGAAGGAAGGAAGGAAGGAAGGAAGGAAGGAAGGAAGGAAGGAAGGAAGGAAGGAGGAAAGAGAGGGAGGGAAGCTAAAAAAAGAAGGAAGGAAAAAGAAGAAAGAAAGAAAGAAAGAAAGAAAGAAAAGGAGGAGGAGGAAGGAAGGAAGGAAGGAAGGAAGGAAGGAAGGAAGGAAGGAAGGAAAGGAAGGAAGGAAGGAAGGAAGGAAAGAGAGGAGGAAGCAAAAAGAAGGAAGGAAGGAAAAGGAAGGAAGGGGGAAGAAAGAGAAAGGGAGGGAGGAGAGAAGAGAGGAAGGAAGGAAAAAGGGAAAGAGAAGAAAAAAGGAGGGAAGAAGGAAGGAAGAAAAAGGAAGGGAAAAGAAGAAGGAAAAAAAAAAAGGAAGAAGGAAGAAGGAAGGAAGGAAGGAAGAAGGAAGGAAGGAAGGAAGGAAGGAAGGAAGGGGAAGGGGAAGGGAAGGGGAAGGGGGAAGGGGGAAGGAAGAAAAGAAAAGAAGAAAAAGAGAGGGAGAAAGGGAAGAAAGAAAGTAAAACACGAGAAAGGGGGCGGGAGGGGAAGGGACTGGACGTGCAGAGGAAGTCATGCAAGTTGCAAATCTCACCAGGGATATAGAGTGAACATTCAGAAATTGAGGCTTCGAGGAAAGCAAACCCCTTCCTCCGAGGTCATTGCAGATTTATTTAAGAAGAAAATCCCCAGAAGTGATATGGGCCCTACTAAAACATTTATATTTTATCCTAGTGGGATTGACTATAATAACCTTTGGTAAATGAAATTGTATATCAACTTGGTCATTTTCGCTGCAGCATGAGGATTGTTGCCCTGGGGTCTCGGGATATTTGTTATTATCCAGGGCTTGGATGCATCAGGAGAGGTCTGCCTAGGACAGGAAGTCACACAGAGACATAAAGGTGACATATTTTGACATATTTGGAGGCAATATGACCGGAACTAAAACTCCTCCCAGAATGGTTCTTTCTCTATTGTTGCTGTGAAATACTTCAGGTGCAATGCCAGAAAGGGTCTTTGCAATATTCTGTCCTGGAAATAGATTGCTCTCTGAATATGACTTGCAAAATGCTACTCTATTTGCATGCATCCAATTGTTGACTTTTTCTTCATCATTCACCTAAATGAAGCCCTTAGAACTATAGAATCGTAGATAGATGCTTCATATATTAAGATACAAAAATAGGAGATATTCTGTCTTATTTGAGCACACAGAACCAAGGTAGAGTCCTTTAGAGAGTGAAATTTGCATTAAGCATTGATTCCATTTCCCTCTTAACTTTCTGAGCTTTGGTGTCACTTTGGGCCATCAAAAAGGGGCAGGAATTGCATCGAAATAGCATGAGATTTGAGACTTGGGTCCAATGAAGAAAACCCTTCAATTTGAAGATACAACTAGGCTATTCCAGCATTGCAATCTGCTCTCTGTACTAGATCCTGGAAACATAATAAAGAAAACAATAGCCTCTCTGTCTATGTGAGTGGATGTCTGTTTCCTTCGATACAACACACATGACATTTAAGCATTTCTTTTACTTCTTTCGAATGGAGACCAATATATAACTGCTATGTGGGCAAAACCATGGAATTAAATTGATACTAAATCCCACCTGATCATGAAAGCTAAGCAGGTTCAGGTCTGGTTAGGATTTGGATGGGAGACGAGCAATCGATGATGTCTTGAAATTTAAAAAAAGATTTCCCAGGGATTTTGAAACAATGTTAAACTTCTCTGTTTTTAAATAATCCCCTTCTTTGATGAGTGTTGTTGCGTTTGAACTGTTAATGGCCATTTTGCTGGTTGCGACTGGCTCCTCGTGAAAGGATTGATCAGAGTCAGTGGGTTCTCTCTATAAGCAGGAAAAAAAGAGGAAGATATGGATTTTTTCTTTGGTTGTTATTGGATTTTGCATCTCTGAATAAACAACAGGCGCTGATTAGCCCAGGAAATATTTCAGTTTAATTGTCAGACATAAATCAGAAATAACGACGTACACCTGCAGAGGAGGGATGGCTGTCTATGCGCCTCTATCTATCTATTAGGCCTGGTTGATCAAGAAAAAATTTGGTTCTAAAATCGATTTGTAATTGGGGTGTTT